TTCCTAAATCCCAGGGGCCAAGCAGACCTCCGAAGCCGTGCTGTTTTCCAACCAGGTGGGCTCCGTAGGTCTTGGCGGCGCGCACAAGGGGGTGGGGGGCGGGGGAGGGCTTCTTAGAAGCAGGCTGCTTCTTAGAAGGCGCCGGCCTTACCTCTATAGATAAGGCCCGCGCCTTCTAAGAAACAGGGGTGCTTCTAAGAAGTCCTCCCCCCTCCCCCCACCCCCCTCTGCGCGTGGCAAGAACCGTCCTCACCACTCATCCTCTTATGAAGGGGCCCCAGGACACACAAATGAGTACACACAAATAAAATGATTCCCCATATTTTCATATATTTTCCTGGTTTTTTGTCTTCCCCCCCCACTCCCCATATTTTCCCATGTTTTCTGGGGAATCGAAGGTTAATTGTGTCTGCGAGTGGCTGAAGGTCTCGGCCCCAGCGCTGGTTCGGGCCCCCCTCGAACCCCCACGGGCGCACCACGCGGCGTGGCCACCTCGCCGTTTGGCCACCCCCGGACTGGGGCGGTCTCTGCTGGGATGGTCCTGGGACCCCAGCGCGGCCCACTCTGTGGGAAAAACACACAGTCTGTGGGAAAACACACACACACACACACACACACACACACACACACACACACGTGTGTGTGTGGGGAAAAACACAAACACACACACACAGTGTGTTTGTTTTTTGTTTCCCACAGTGTGTGTGTGTGTGTGTGTGTTTTCCCACTGTGTGTGTGCGTTTTTGTCCCACAGAGGGGCCGAGACTTGAGAAACCGTTTTGCGCCGTAGCGCGGCAAAGGCGATCCGCACGCGCGCTCTCGGCGGCCAGGAGCGGGAGAACTTCACTGTGCGGCTGCAAGGGGCGAGAGGGAGCCACGGGCGGCTGGGCCGCGGGTCCACAAGCGGCTGAGCTGCGGCGACTGACCGGCCGACTTCTGGCGAGGGGCCGAAAATCGAAAAACACGCCGAACTGTAAAACCACCCACACACGGGGATGGACAGACCCCCCTTTAGCAAAACGTGGTTTAGTGAAAACGACCTGAGGCCCAAACCTGGCGGGCGCAAGCCTGGAGCATGACGACCGTGGCGCCTTCTCGAGCACCGAAAACGGACAATCCCACCAGCCCTCTGGGCGTCGGTGGTTTAGGGCGTTTCCTCTTCCACCCCTCCCTCTTCCCCTTCGGGGAGGGGTTTACCCCTCCCCCTACCCCCTCCCCACAGACCTGGACAGGAGGGGCGGGGAGCGGTCAGAGCGTCCAAAACGGCCTCGGCGAGGAAGCCAAAATCATTGATTTTACTATGGTTTTGGCCCCATTTTGGCCTTCTGAGGGGGCAGCGCTAATTAGAGCTCCCCTCTTCTTTGATCGATTTCCTCCACGATGGCCGCAAGAGGCCCCCAGGATGCCCCAAGAGGCCGCAGGATGGCCCCAAGATGGCCCCAAGAGGCCCCCAAAGAGGCCCCCAGGAGGCCCCCAGGAGGCCCCCAAGAGACCCCCAAGAGGCCCCAAGAGACCCCCCAGAGGCACCCAAGGCCTCCTGAGGGGGCAAAGATGGCCCCAAGAAGCGCCCAGGAGGCCCCCAAAGGCCCCAAGATGGCCCCAAGAGGCCCCAAGAGGCCCCAAGAGGCCCCCAGGAGGCCCCAAAGAGGATCCCGAACGGCCCACAGAGGCCCACCCGAGGCACCCAAGACGCCGAAAAGCCCCTCAGGACGACCCTCTACTCGCCTGGGCGTCGTTTCTGGACGGGCTGGTGGGGATACGCGAAGCGTCTAGAATTCACTAATCGACGTGTCACTGTTGGGGGTTCTGTCCGCCCCCGACACAAACGTAGTCAATCAATCCGTCCAAGGCGTCCGGCAAGGCCACTCGGTGAGTCGGCTCGAGACGCCGCGCCGCGAAGTTCCCACGGTCGTGCGAGGGCCTTGGCAGCTGCGCGGTTGGCAGCGCTGTCTGCTCCCAGAAGCACTTTCGGGCCGAGGTGGTCAACAACGTTTCCTCTTCTTGGGCGCCCAGTTATCCGGGGTAACTCGGGTCCGGGGTAGCTCGGGTTCGGAATCCCGACAAAACCAACCCGAGTTAGCCCTGACCCGAGTTACCCCTGATGATTCGGGGCTCCGGACGCCCGAATTATCCTGGGTAACTCGGGTCCGGGGTAAATCTGGTTCGGAATCCCGAAAAACGAACCCGAGTTAGCCCTGACCCGAGATACCCCTGATGACTCGGGGCTCTGATCTTCCACCCTCCTTCGTCCCCTCTGGGTCTGACGGAGGGGGGCATCGAGCGGTAATAGCGCACGAGATGGCTCAAAGATGACTGGAGACAGCCCAATATTCGGGGATGGACAGAACACCCTGTAGCAGAACGTGGTTTAATGCAAACGGCATCGGGCCCAAACCTGGCGGGCGCAAGCTGTAAAATAACGGCCACGGTGCTCTGTCGAAAGCCGAAAACGGACACGTGTCAGGGTGGGGGCTCTGTCCACCCCCGAAATATGGCCTCCAAGCTGTTACCATGTATCCGACGGTTGCTCCAAATGGCCTCCCATATCCTCCTTCCACATGGTTACAAAACTACCCGGAAACTGCCCCGAGTGGCCACTGAGCCTCCCAAGGATGCCCCCAAGAGGCCTAAGTTCTTCGAACACTTCAAGGAAACCAACCAGCTCGAAGGGCAGCCTTAATCACACCAGCCCGTCAGGATTTGAGTGGTTTTGCGAATTTCCTCATCCAACCCCCATTTTCCCCATCGCGGGAAGGGGTTCATTACTGTTCCCTTTTACACAATCCCCCCCCCAGGTCACTGGCAATCAACAAGGACCAATGAGACCCCCACGCCCCCCCCCCTCATGTTTGTCAAAAACAATGTGATATCCACTTTGGGGTCAGATCGTCACGTTGGGGGGTGCGCGAGCACATCGCATTTTTCCTTACGAGGAACGGTGGGGATGCCCGCACATGTCCTGCCGCGCGCAGGGCCAGCATTATGACAAACACTACAACGTGCACTTCGAGGCCGAACGTTGCGCACATGGCGCGGCCGGAGCATGCGGCACACACGGCGCCCGTGGATCAAGCGGCGCATCTGGCGCACCAGGCGTCCCAGCACGTTTCTGCCACAGGGGTGCCTGGCTGACCTGGCCCGCGTTGCGCACGTCGCCCCCGCGTTGCGTACATGGGAACTGTTTTAGCTCCCATCACCTGTCCATCCTAAGACTACCATTGAACTCGCTGCGGCTCGGCTGCTATTTATGTGTTGGGACGGCGGGCGGGAATGAGCGAGACGGCTTGCGGGCCGGGAAGTGTTTTTGCCTACGACATCCCCCTCGCGGCAGTCGCAGAGCAGCTGGAGGGTGAAAGCAAGGTGGGCCTCGGGAAAAACCCATCAACCTGGCAAGGAAGACATGGTACGGCTCAAAATAAGTCAGTCTGCCTGTGAACATGTTCCCCCGCTTCTCTGCCGCGCCAGCCCCAGGGGTCCCAAAAAGGGAATCTTGCCGAGGGCCCCGCGGGGCCAGGGACGACCCTTCCGAATCACGTCTAATTGCTTCGATTTGCGAACAATGCCACTGCAGCCGCGGGTCGGAACGCCTGGCCTGCCAGCTGTGTAGCTGACGCGCCTGTCGAAACATAAAACTCCTTGCCCTGTCGCCAAATCGCGAGCAACCCTGAGCTGACGATGGGGGGGCGACAGCCTCAGGCGGGGCACGATAAACTGCGAAGCGTGGGCGCGAATGGCCCGCATTCAGACCTCTCCACATTTTTGAGATTCGCAAACGTACGAACACAATGCCTGCGTTGCCACGGGGAGCCAGCCAATGGAGATTATGGGAGAGCCTGGTCTGGGGGGGAGAGCGAGGATCCCCCGAGGCTCCCCCTAGACCCCCTGACAGCTCTCGCGCAAGGGGCCAAACCTCCAAGACAGTAAAAGCAGCATCCGCAACTTCCACAAGCGCATGGTGGCGAGAATGGCCTCAGCATCAACATGAGACCTGTACCTATCGGCAGCCACCTTGGCATAGGCATCCGCCTATATATTCCCCCTGGTCTTCCACGTGGCCTGACCTAGAGAATCGCCCTAACTCAGATGGGCTTCCGCACTGTGGATATTCCAGACGTCCCTGGGCTCGGCCTTGACCCCCTCCGCGAGTGGCCCGACTGGGTCGCCTGGTCGCCCGTCCCTCGGAGGCGGGCGACATCAACAAATCAATCCCCAACCACCTCCTCGGGACTGAACTCAGGGATGTCCGAATGCTCGACAGTGCGCACGAGCCCGCGAGATTCAGCTAGCACTGCGGTCCGTAGGAGGTCGCGCGCAATGGACCCCATCACGCAACCCGCGACATCCCCATTCAAGGGTGATCTCCGCGGACGCCCGACCCTGGCTCCAAAACCAACCTCGGGCTTCGGGGTCCAGGGCCAAGCTGTCAATGCGCGCGCGGGCCCCGTGCTCAAACTGGTCCAAGTGGTCGAAGTATTGCGCGAAATCCTCGATTGCCCACAGTGAATTATACAGCGGATCGCCCTCTCCTGCCCCGAGTGCCTCCTCGACCAAGTGGCTGTCGATCTCTCCGCGCAGCTCCTCGCCGCGGGGGTAACTCCAAATCCCGCGGGATCGTAGCAAAACCTGCAAAAGGAGAAACCCCATAACTTGAGAGACGCGCGCAGACAACAGCGGAATGAACCCGACATAATGTTTTTGTTCCGGAGCCTCCTCCTTTGCTCCGGCGTCATGTACTTCGACAATTTTGAAAACAACAGGTTTGGGCCTGCAGGCCTCGGTCCAGAATGTCTCTGGCCCTTAGTGGCTGGTGCCCTGCAGCTTCTGGGAGGCCGAGTCCTGGAAGTATTTCTCTTGCAAATCCAATCTGCAAATCGTCTGGGTCAAAACCGGCGGCGAGTCCGTTAAATTGACGGGAGCTCGCTCCGCGGACACGTAGAAGGCCTGATTTTTGACGTGCCAGCCCGCCTCTGCATCACACAAGGGCGCGTCCAAAATAAGGCGGGCGCCCCTGCGCCTCCGACCCAAAGACGGCGGCGGCTCGGCAAAAACTGTCAAACACAGGTGGGCAACATCGGCGAGGGAGCCAACGCTGAGACCGCCATTGGTTCGCGACGTGGGACCCGCGGCCTTCCACCATTTTCCTGCATATCGTACATCCGTGTCACCAACATGCGCGTCCTTGTCAAGCTGAAGGGCCCACGCGCCGCCCATGGAGGCACGAGGGGCCCCGTGGGGCTCAGGACAACCGCCTATCTTACATGCGTCATGCTGCGCTTCTGGCCAAAGAAAAAACAAATTAACTGCTGCACACGTTTGCCACGAAGGCTTTTGATTGTGGGCACCCTCCGTCGGACTTTACTTCAACGAGCTTTCCTTTTGGCCAATATCGGGATGTTATTGGTGCCCTCGGGAGCTCCCTTCGAACAGGGATTCTCGTTCGGAAACGAGCTGGCCTTGCGAGCAGCCGAGAGGTCAACACCTAGGCGCGCAACCTCACCTGTCAACGGCTGGGCGTACCTACCAAATACCTCCAGGCCTGGATATGTCAGCTCTTGGGTGTTCGAACTAGAAAATCCCTTCGTCAGAGCTCGAAAAATTGGTGCTCGAACAAGTTGCAACGTTTTTGAACAGGCACCCTGCCAACTTCGCAATGCAATTCAAACACTGAACGGTTGATGGGTGATGCCCGTCTATCTCCACATCATCAGCATGAACAATAAATCTGGCGTTGTCCATACGCGCTGGGGTTGTTTTTGGCCATGTGAGCCATATGCCCATGTATTATCATACGTGGCGGCACTGCTTCCAACAACTATGCCGTGGTCTGGATAAACATGCTCCGTGCACGATGGCGACCCTGGGCCAGCGGTACGGCTGAATGGACCAGAAGGGGGAAACGCAACGGAAACCAACAGGGGCCGAACTCGCGTCATAACCCCAAATGCTTCACGTGCTCGTGGCACTGCTTGAGGCCCGCAAGTCGCATTCATACCCTTTTTCCCCCGTATCATCTGCTAGCGCCGTGCGAACAGTCTGCCTTCAAATACCATCCGTAGTGCTCCTCGCCGGTGCCATGTTGAACACTCCCCCGTCCTCCAGGCAACCCTTTCCACTCCTTGTGATGCTTGGCGGCTATCTTCGAATACAACATGGGGTAGCTGTGAACCAAAACACCCTGCCGACCTTCTTCCTGACATGGGCTTCTGGTAGAGCTGCGCTAGCAGAAGCTGGATGCCAGCTGGTGCCTGACCTCCTGCTGCTTGCAATGAACAAAACAGAAGGCAACGCCTGCAGGCTTTCAGACGACAAAAAAATGTAGTTGCGGAGATGGAAGCCATCAGTAGCAATTGCAGACGTCTTGAAGCCCCTCGAGATACTTCGGAGGCTCCTGCATCTGGGGCTTCAGGGATGATGGTGTAATCCCCTCCCCCTCTCCCCTGCCACTGGACCTGGACGGGTGGGGGGGGGGCGCGGGTCGTTAGAGCGTCCAAGACGGCCTCGGCGAGGAAACCAAAATCATGACTAACGTGCTGGCCACATTGTGGCCTCCAGGGAGGGGGATTCTCATGTACGAAAGCCCTCCTTTGATCGATCTTCCCCAAGGTGGCCCCAAGATGGCCACCCAGGTTCCTAAGAAGGCCCCAGAAAGGGCTACAAGAGGTGTCCAGGAGGCCCCAGGAGGCTCCAAAGTGGCCACCAAGATGCCCCGAAGAGGCTCCCACGAGACCCCCGAGATGCCCCAAGAGGCTTCCCAAAAGCACCCAGACAACACCACGCTCCTGGAACTGCTAAGATAATCCAATAGACCCTAAGAAGACCCCAAGAAACTCTCGGAAGAAATGCGAAGAGACTCCGAGAGGAACGCCAGAGGCTTATGGCCTTTCTGCTCGCACTGTTCCTCCTGCTTTTCCTCATTATCTCATCATTCCTCCTTTCGCCTCCATCGTTCCCATCCCCCCCCTCCCTACTCCTCCTCCTCCTGCTCCTCCCGTTCCTCCTCCATCCTCCCCCATCTTGGGACACGACGATTTACTCAGCCCGTTAATCTACCGCATGCTCCTCAATGTCCCTGTTGACGGCGAATGGGCTGGTGGAGTTGCGCAAAGCCTCCAGAAGACGGATCCCCCTTCTAGTGGTCGACGTCCTCCAATGTTCGGCCCGGGCGAAACGGGGAGATAGCAAAGGGGGGAGTTGAGAATGAGCTCGCGTAGCTGACTTTCCCAGCGCCTCCCAGCGCGCGAGGCGCGCATGTATCGAGGAATGGGCCCCTCGGCGGGGCCGAGACCAGCTGCATGCAGCAAATTTCGTAACACCCCCTTTCCCGATCCCCCCCTTTCGTCCGGCCCGAAATGTGGCCCAGAGAGGGTGCCCATGGCACGCAATAAGGCCCCAGGATACCCCCCAAGAGGGCCCTGGGCCCTCCCCGCAGGGCCCCGATAAATATAGTTCGGCCCCTCGGTTCGCGCGAACATGCGCGGGAGTGTGTGCCGTCAGTGCCTCCCGTCCGCCCTCCTTCCCTCCTCCTCCTCCTCCTCCTCCTCCTCCTCCTCCTCCTCCTCCTCCTCCTCCTCCTTTTCCTTATCCCTCATCCTCCTCTCCCTTCTCCTCCTTTTCCTCCTCTCTCCTTCACCTCCTTCGAAAAAACCGCACAGGCATTCATGGGTCACTCCCCGGCCTGCGAATGCTGATCCCGAGCTTCGGCTCGAGGGGTGTCCCCCCCCCTCCTCCGTGTTCCGCTGTATGCTCCCACTCCTTCCTGGTCCGGGCCACCCGCCTGCGCATCGTTTGTGGATTGACCAGTGGGGGTACTTTTTGGGTCAGCGGTCCCAAGACGAGTGTCAGGAGGCAAAGGCGACGTCCGGGCCACGGGCGAGGCGAATTTGCAAGACAGTGCGCTGCCAGCCAGAGTTGGCGGACAGACTGCTAGCACAGGCACGCGCACTGAACAAAATGACCAGAATTCGAGAGGCCAGCGCACGAAAGCGCAGTAACCCTTACCACAGTGGGCAGGTCGCTGTGCCCGGTGAAAATGAAAAGGCCCCCAAGTGAGTCGCCGATGTGGCGCCAGACTTCAACGGTCGTCCTGCGCAAGCCAGCAGGCTGAGCGGTCGAGAACAGTAAACAGCGCGCGACAGCTGAAAAGGGGCCGAAGGCTGTACAGGCGTTGAAGGCTGTACCACTCAGCACCCAGGCCAGTCTCAGCGATCCGCATCACAATGTCGGGGGAGAGCCGTGCGACTGTAATCCAACCGCGCGCGCGCCTGCACGGTGCAGCCACAGGGTGTGAGGGGGCCCGCTGGCGTGGTGAGCGTCGCCGACGGTGAAAAGAGAAAAGGGGGGGGCTGCACGAGAGGTGGTGGTGCCGACTGCGTAGCCTGAAGCGAGGCGCCAGGGGGAGCTGCACTGCAGTAGGCGCTGACTTCAGACCGCCGCATGGCACTTCCCCAAGGCCATTGCGCCAACACGCACCACGAATCCCTCCTAGGCCGTAGTAACCGCCGCTGAGGGTGATGAGCTGGACCACGAGCAGCGCGGAACGGCAGGCCCAGGGAGGGGGGGCAACCACACCGACGCAACTGAGGCGTCAGGCGGGCCCCGGGTGCCAAGGGCGGGGGGCACCCACTGGGCCTGGGAGGGGAGAGGCGAGGGGACGCAACGCCTCTCCCCTCGGTCTGGCTCCCTGCCGCTGTGGGCCAGGGGCCGTGGTACTCCTCTTGGGTCGTCCTGGGGGTCGCAGCTGATCGCCGCTAGAACTTGCATTGAACACCTCGGGGGTCGCAGCTGATCGCCGCTAGAATCTCTTTTACTCTTATTGGGGGTCCCAGCTGCCGCTGTGGTCTCTATTGAAGGTTGTGTAACCGAGTGAAGGCCCACCAGGGCCGCAACAAACGCAACAGATGCGAGCCTGCAGAAAGGTGCGTCCCTGAAGGTGGGTCCTCGGGGGTCGCAGCTGATCGCCGCTAGAGCCGATGTTGCCAAAACTGTGGCCTGAAACACATGCCGATCCGGTGGGGATACGCGAAGCTTCAAAGGTTTCGATCTAAGCGAGGCCCCCGATCCGCGGAGCGCCCCACAAGCTCGCGAAAGTGGTGACAGTTTCGCAGTCGACAGCAGCTAGCAAGACCCGAGGAAGCGAGGCGGAAGGGGAGGACACGGGAGGGAGGAGGAGGAGGAGCAGCAGTGCTCTGCTCGAAAACGACGATCCAATGCAAGAAACAGTTGCTATACAACGCGACGTCGGGAGCTCGGGGGGGTTGACCTCCAGCTGCTGTGCACTTTCGAGGGCAGGCGTGGCAGCAGGGCCCTTCCAACATGAATGGACTTGCTGTCCCCAGCACTCCTCGACAAGCGAGGAGGAATCTCATTTGACTGGAGGAGAAGCACGCGCATCTGTCTTGCCAAACCTTCGGGTGGGAGGGGCTTGCGAGAGGGGGGGCGGCGGAACAGACAAGGCGCCCATGAATTCTCAAATAACACATAGCCTTGTTCAGCTCGCATGCCTCACCAGGATGGCGGACAAGGGAGGGGAACGACCGCCGTGAGTGTCTAGCAAGGCTTTCGATTAATTTGCACAATGCTAGCAGGCCTTCATGTAACTGGAACGGCGTTGACTGAACGTTGGGAGAATAATGAAAACGCAAAGTCAAACACTACCATGTGCATTGCCAATATTCACAAATGGAAGATCAAGCCTGCTTCAATTCCTGTGCCTTTGCCTTGACGTCTTCAGGGAAATTGTCGACGTATGAGAATACATCACCGACCTGACTCACAATTCACATCCGTCATCCACCCTTCGCAACATTACACCAGAGCGAGAGGGGGCTGCGCGACTGCGCAACAGAACAGGCGCTGGGTTAGCGTTCTTGCATGGCGGCGAAGCGGATCTCCAACATGCAATTGATACTCAACATATTTGCCTAAATACTGCAGAACAGGCAAGCTCTCGCCACTACCTGAATGACAACAGCCCCGTATGATCGCACAACACGTCCTGATCGATCCATCAAATATCAGGGCACTGCTCGAATAGTACCAAGACAGTAAGCATGGTGCTGCCTCACCCCGAGCGGGGCCAACCACAACTAAACTTCCCCATTGCACACCTCCCCACTTTGTCGGTCCCGAAACACAGTTTGCTCTTACTTGATTAAACCATTTGGCTAGGCTTCCCAGGCTTCCGCCTGGTCTTCCTCAATGTCCGCCTCATGGCCGCTGGAATCCAAATAGTCCACGTACTCGGCGGGGCTGCGGCGTGGCCGCCTGTTGCGCTGGTTGGCGTTTCTGGTTTCGGCAAAGAAATACAATTTGCCGCCTTATGGCCGCCGCGTGCGCTGGATGGCGTTTCCGTATTTTCAACCAATTGGCACCCATTGCCGCCTCATGGTCGCCGCTTGCGCTGATTGTCATTCCCGGATGTACATGGCTTGCACCGCGTGTATCTCACCACATAACTTGTATCCTGCGCATTGCAAGACACACATTGTACAACATTGATCTCGCCGCACAGATGCCGCCTCATACGTAGCTGGTACCACTTAGCATGGAACACATCGCTTGTACCACACAACCCATGTATGACTTCCCGTATGTTACAACAAATACGTTGTTCCGCTTACGTTGTGCCCAATAGCCTGCACCATGTGGATGGGGCCACGTGGATTTCATCACACGCGCTGCACCACATTATTTGCGCCCCAAGTTTTGTAAATCGAACTTGCAATGGCCCAATGCTTGCGGTTCACGCTGCTCAATACTTGCTGCACATTAGAGCCACGATTGCTTCCCTGACTCCCCGCCATTCTCGGTCAAGCCTGCGACGAGTACAGAGAACCACGCCGAGCCGCCTGGACGCTGCACCGCGGCTGGTCTGTGTCGGGCCCCTTGCCCCTGCCTGCAGTCATCGCCCCGTCCCTCTCCCAGCCTTCCGGGGAGCGTGAATGTGCATCCACTTTCTGCCTCAACTGGCCCTCCGAGAGAAATCGCGAGGCCAAGAGAGATGCTCACGGTGAAACGCCCTCCGTGGTGGGACCTTGCCCCAACCGTTGCACCTCCTTGCAGCCCCCCCCTCCCCACAAAACGCTGTGGCGACCATGTCCGCGGCAACGACACCTGACAGAGACGCAACCGCACCCCGAACCCGAAAACGCTGGTACCTCTTCGTCGGCGCATCTCTTCCGCGCTCCCGCCGGCAGAACGCCCATCCAGAAGCCGCCCTCGAGCTGTGGCCCCCCTCCGGCGCACCAACCCCCCCCCCCCCGCCGGCTCGACGTTGCCGCCTCGGCTCCACGTTGGGCACGGGTGGGCGCCGCTGGCTCCGTCAGTCCGCCTTAAAGGCACGACACGAGGATGGATGCCCCCTCACGGATGAGGGGGGGGGAGGAGCAATGCAATATGGCTGGCTGCGCGGCAAAAGTGGTGCAACATTTCGTCGACGTACGGTAGGGACCCGAAGAGTGGAGCGAGGCGTGGCGTGAAGCGCCCCGAGCAGGAGGATGCCCCCTCGCGGATGAGCAGGTCGAGGCCCCTCGCGCTCATGGCCCTGCGGCCCCTTGCGTTGGCACGCCGGACCGGTTTCGAAGATACCTCGGGGAGCGCGGCCGCGACCGCGTCGCTCCTCCGACGGGCCAAAGCCGGGGGAGCCGTGTTCCTCCTCGCCCTCACGGTCGCCTCAGGCTCTGCCACACTCGCTCCCTCCGAGTTGTGTGCCGTTGCCCCCCTCCCTCGAGGGCGAGCGACCTTCTTGTAGCGCCCGAGGGCCAGGTCCAGCCTGCCCGCCTTGAAGAGCGAATTCCCGAGGGCCTTGCGCTCGTCGCAGAACTTCAGCTTCTCCTCGTCCGACATGTCCCACGTCTCCTGCGCGCGCACGCCCCCTCCTGCCCCGTCTGCTCTGCTCGCCCGGGACGTGACTGCAGCAGGCACATGCGAGCAGGCACCCTGCTGCTTTGGGAATGTAGGGGCACGTGCTTCGTCGACTCCGAGCTTCGCAGGGTGCCTCAGGGTTCCGCGGCCTCATCGGGAGATAGTAAGTTCTCGCGGGGTGCACTTCCTCATCCCACTGCGTCGCTGTCTAACCTTGGTGCGGAAGGCTGAGGCATGGCGGCCCGCGAGGTCTCTCACGCGACGACAGGGAAGAGGGCATTCACGGGCTGCCTAAAACAAATCTTGGCGAAGGAGAGTGAGGGCAAGGCCCAAATCTGTGCAGATCCACAAACGCACTATTCGAGAGAGACGAGCTACTCTGCAACAGTAGTGAATGTGCCAGGGGGCCATCAAGGTCGAACCCCTTACTCATGAGAGAACTGTGGTGCGACCAGACGAGTGTCAAATTTCAGGGGGGGCATCCACATTCTGACGCAAAGACATGTTGTCGCGTCAGCCCCGCAGACAACAGACAATTGATTGGGTAGCGCAATAACGGATGTCCTTTCCCTTCTCGAACTCCTTCATCTCGAGCTTGAGGACGATCGACTGCAAAAGAACAACAAAAGAACTGGAGACACCAAGTCCTGTCAACAACAGCACCACGTGAGTCGAGCGAGACCGAGGAGCGCATGCTGGATCATCTGGCTCGGCTGCCCCCGGGCTTCTCCCGGAGCGTGAATCGGAAGAGGGGAGGACGGAGGATCCGAATGGCTCTGCCAGGACGGTGGGGACGAGGACGAGGTCGACGAGTGGCATGGGGGATGGAAGGCCAGAGCCGAGGAATTCAGCAGAGGGAGGGAACGAGGGAGGGGGAGGGAGGGAACGAGGGAGGGGGGGAGGGGGGGGGAGAACGAGGGAGGGGGGGGGAGGGAGGGAACGAGGGAGAGCGTGAGGCGTGAGGCCTTGAAAGATGAGCCAACGAATGAAGAGAAACAGTCAGGAGAGCCGGCGGCGGCAGCGGCAGCTGCCGTTTTGAGAGGGCCAAGATCGGGAGGGGCTGGCGGAGATGGAGAAGCAAATAGCCCGATGAGCTAGGGGGCAGAACATGATAAAGAGTTGAGGATGGTACAGGATGGGGATGAGGAATGGAAGGGGAATAGTTTAAGGGAATGACGCACGATCGTGAAAATGCTGCGTAAGAGCAGGGGAATGGGGATGATGCGGAGCACAGGGAGGGGAGGACGAGGAAGTGGAGAATGATGCGGAGGCGGAGCAGGAGGACGACGGCCGACGAGGAGGAGAAGGAAAAAGAAGAAGAATGCAGAGAATATGTGGAGGCAGATGGCGAGCGAATCATGGGAAGGAAATCGGTCTCGCAAGGAGACGGCGGGCCCTGGACATTGCTCCATCATCCTCGGGGCCCGGGCGGGGAGCCTTCGCGGGCCCAGGGACGGTTACGGCTGGCACTTCTGGGGCCCGAGCTCTTGAGAGCCGCTGTTCCTTCGTGGCGGGGGCGGGGGGGGGGACAGGGAGGAGGAGACGCCCCACAGGCCTCCTGGAGCGCCCTGAATTCTTCGGACGGTATGGCGGATGACTCCCGGGAACCTGGTCCCCTTCTCCCTTCTGCTCCTCCAGAAGCCTCCGAAAGTCTCTCAGAGGGAACATGCGGTCCAGTCGAGAACCTTCGAAGACCTCCCCTTCCTTCATCCTCGGCTCATGCTCACCTCATCCTCACCTCGTCATTCCTCCACCTTCTCCCTCTGCCCTCCTCCTTCCTCCTCCTCCTCCTCCTCCTCCTCGCCGTCCTCCTCCTCCTCCTCCTCCCATCCCTGCCTCTGCCCTCCGCACGAATCAACAAATGCGACGCATCCAACAATTGCGACGCGCTCCCTCAACAAATCAACAGTTGCGACGAACCACAGAGCTCTCGAATTGAAAATGGCGCTGAGGTGCACGGCGAAGCCAGTATATAAAAATATAACAAACATTGGAATCCTACTGTCAGCAAGGCCGTGTACACGCAACTACTCGATTCGCATATCGATGAACATGCCGGGCACGGAGGTACTATATCAAATAAATATTGTTTTTGGAGCGATGCATGCTTGCAACTTTGGGAAAGACGCTTTCCACGAAAACTCCGCAATGCAGATCAACAAACAAAGATGTGGAATTGCAGACATTGATTGCTGAGCGAAGGAGCATACGACGGAACCAATTCATTACCACTGTACAAAAAACGAAGACTCGAACTCAACAGATGATCAAGAAACTCATCCTGGAGCGGCTGAATCATAAGAAGGGAAACGCACATAAGCAAGACATTGACATACTTTCGCGGGATATCTGCAAGCTCACCTACAAGTGGCCCAGACAAAGAAGCAGCTCACTGCATCCGTGCGCAACGAATCTGGGGTGGAGCAGCTCGACAAGACCGACATTGCTGAAATATTTGCTGGTTTCTACGAGAACTTGTTCAAGACATGACCTTACTCACAGAGGGTTGTGCTGAATGGAATCAAATGTTGTGGGTTGCGTTAGTAGACTTTGAAAAAGAGTTTGACACAGTCGACCATGCAACACTTTCGAAGATATTGGCTGACTTGGGAATTGGGTTCAATTACATCACTCTGTGCAGAAAGCTGTTTCGAGACCGAAAGGCAGTCGTCGCTGCGGGAACAGATTTAAGGACAGTTGGTATATTACGCGGTGTGAAGCAAGGGGATATAATATCGGCTTTACTTGGTGTTTTGCAATTCTGGAAATATGTGTTCGAAGTCTGAACAAAAAACGGGACAACCTGAACATTCGCAGGATGGGGCAATGCTGCGGCATTGTCGTGGACTTCGTGTCGGACCCTCTGGCGAATAGTATGTTTGTTTGTTGTGTTGTTGTTGTTTTGTTCCTTGGGCGTGGGCGCGTGAGTAGGTTCGCCCCCCAGAAACACGCACAGAAAAGTTACTTAAAACCTGCTTTTCGCCAGTGCTTAGGAGACGCGACTGATACGAATTGCCCTCAAGACGCATCGGGCTAGACTTGCACACGTTGTGTCACAAACCCTACCGCATGGCCCAAACGGCCACTGCAATAAATCCGACACAATATTATGGGATAGCCGGGGAGAGGAAGAGGAGGAAGGAAAGCAGGATGGAAGGAGGAGGGGAAAAGGATAAGCGAATCTACTTGCGGCGGATGCTGCGGATTACCCTGCAGCCTCTACACCGAAGGCGCGTGGTGCTTTACATACATTCCATGATGCCTCGGAACTGGGATCTGTACAACCAGTAATGGTCCACTGCGCCACTCTGGTGCCGAAGGTGGGCTGTGCTTGTGAAACAACGGTACACATGTATAGCTACATATTTGTACGAATCCCTCCAGGCCCTCCCGAAGAGAAAAACGCGGAGAATCCATTCGCAAAAATCTGTGTGTGCGTGCCGGCGGGCTGCCTCCATTAGGACTGGGCAGCGCCAGTAGTGCTCATTCGAACCGGATGCAGATTTTGCCTTGCAGCACAGGCGCGGCGCTTGTTGCTGGAAGCGCCGGGCGCAAGTCCACCCATTGAAAGCAATGTGAAATCAGGCAGAAACCACGGCTCGTGGTACGCTGCCCCTGAGGTGGGGCAAATTGCGAGTTATATGTTCAACAGTAGCACCTACACGCGTTAGTCCTATGAGGTCGTGCCAAGCGCGGCGACGGCCGAGGCGCCGACGGATAACATCTTCAGGCGCGATGGCATGAAGGCTGGCATGCACCTGGAAATATACAGCGGCCTGGCCTCCCTGTGCAATGATGCGCCTGTCTCTCAATGTGCCCCGGGCGGAACTCAACGTGACCACAGACAAGGAAATCAGCCACGAATGCCATCGCCACTGAAAAAGGGCCTCGTTGCATTGGATTGTCTCCTGCAACTTCACGCGGAGCTCCCGCCATCGAGGACGCGTATCCGTCATCGTCCTCGCCGCGGCTGCGAAAAGCAAGGCGCTGATAGAACGGAAGGGGGCCGGGAGTCCGAAGGCGTCAAGGTTGTGCTCGCCATGCTTGGACAACCACTTCCCGGGTCCACGGGCCAGTCTGCGCAGCATGTCACGCTTTGTGGCGAGCAGATCGCTAGTAGGAGCGACCAGCTGCAATACGAAGCTGAGCACGCTGAGTGCCAAGGAATTGTACAACAATGCTGAGGCAGGAAGTCCAAGACAGAGGTCCTAGATGTACTCCACTCTCGCGATATACTTGCCCAGCCCCTCCGACCCTCTTAAATATAAGAGGATCCACCAAAAATTTTGGTGACCCCCTAAATAAATAGGAGGGTTTTTCGATGTGACAAAACCTTCCAAAAATATAAGAGGATTTTGCCGCACATGGAAAACCTTCTTAAAAAATAAGAGGGTTTCTTGTTGGTACTATCCGTAGGACGCGTTATCGGTATAATATAACTCGTTGTTTCACGGTGGCCTCATTATCCCCTCCTCCTCCCTCCCTCCCTCCCTCCTCCTCCTCCTCCTCCCTCCTCCCTCCTCCTCCCCCTCCTCCTCCTCCCTCCTCCCTCCTCACAGAAAAACCACATGGGCCCTTTGAACCTTGTTTGGCCCAAGTGGGCCCACGAGTGCAGCGGCCACGGCCACCAAAAAGCGGTATTCAGAGGATGTTTCACGCGAAGCGTCGATCGATTTTTGTTACGGGCCATCACAACCTGTACTTCTCGATTGCAGAGCGATGCACAAACTTGCAATGCTGGTGGGAATCTCCCACAGAATCTACACAAGTGCCAATGGCGTCCTCATCCAGATAATTCCAGCTAGTTCTAGGATTTCCGTGTGTGAAAAAATCATCTTCCCCTAAATGGACGAATAGATGATGTTTTGGGTACATACGATATGCTTCCCAAAACCTAGTGTGCCTGTCAGTATGCAGGGACAGTTGCCCATACAATTGAACATGCTGTCGCGCAAGGGTGCCCAATTTAGTCCGTATAGTGTCCGATGGGTGCTTGATTTCATCATAGAAATCGTACAGCGCCTCCACACAAAAAAGCCTGAGCTGCTCGTATTCGCTGGCAGGTTAGAAGATTTCTTTCAATAGGAAATGAACGACGCCAACCATTAAACGAGCATTCGCGGCCTTCATCCGCAGCTTTGGATATCGGCTTTTGTCTGGCTTCAGCATCCCGAGCGTCAACGTGTTTAAAGGAAACTTGTCATACTTCAGCTGGCGACTCGCATGTTTGATTAGAACCGTGAGCTCCGAAAGGCAATCGGCGGGTCTTGTCATCAGACCACCTAGCTTGATAAAAAGTTCGAGTAACACGTTGGCGACCAAATATAATACGATGCCGAGGTCCCCAACATGCATCAAATCCAGAACAATACTCGACAACTGCAGTCCAGGAATGCTCCAAATTCCAGAAATGTAGCGGCCAGACAAAAGTGCATCTTGAACGAACTGTTGATGCGACAGCATTGTGGATCGCCACTTGGCGTTTGTGCTAGCATCCGTAAACGGGAAAACGCAACTCGGATCTGTGGACTTCTCCGCGCAGCAGCGGAAGCACATCCTTTTCCGTTCACCCTCGCCTTGCCACCCATGCAACCCAATCACTTTTTTGA